CAGGAAAAAGTCCAAGTGCTGATGAGACATTAGGCCAATGTCATTAAAGGTTGTGTGAAAAATCAAAGACTCAAATCTAAGCCAAAGCAGAAGATGGTCTTTCTTTTTGTCTCTTTTGTCCCTCATTTATGAGTCTAAGTCAGATGATTTCATCCAAAAAGGCAGGCAAAAGGGGTTAAAGGAGAAGAAAAGGAAAGGAGTGATTGAATATGAAAATGAATTTTAGTTCTCAATAAATGTTTTAAAGAAATAAAAAACAGTGACAAAGTCTACTGTCTAGTATCCCAAAAAGTCAAGAACATGAGAAGTTGTGGGAGGGGAGAGGCAAGGGGACTTGTTAGGCAGTAATCAATTGCCTTCAAGTCAGCTCCAACTCATGGCTATCCCATGTGTGCCAGAGTAGGACTGGGTTCCACAGGGTATTCTAGAAAGTAGATTGCCAGGCCTTTCTTCTGAGGTGTTTCTGGATGGACTTGAACCACCAACCATTCACTCAGCAGCCAAGCATATCAACTGCACCACCCAGAGATTTGCTTAAGTAACCCTAATCCTTCTCCCATCTACTTCTCTTACTGCTGCTCTTTGTAGCCTGTAGGAGCTTTGACCAATTCTATTATTACCTTGGTTGTCAGACAAGCAGCTAAGGGGATAAGAAGGAAGAGGGGTCCTCTAACAACCTGGAGAGTGCAAGAAGGCAAGGCACATAAAACAGGAGGATTCAGGCAGGGGGCACTCCCTAAGCACCTTATCTAGGTCTTTGTGTTTCTCTCCCATTTCTTTTAATGACTAGTTCAGGGCAGTTTTCTTAGCATCCCTTCCAGGAGAGAGGAACAGAGGACAGTGGAATGGAAACCTGTCATTATTTCTATCTTTCAGCTTGCTGCATTTGCTACAAAGAGGTTGTTGAAGAAAATGCCTTGCACAGTATTCAATGTTCCCTACGTGACAACTCCACATTTTTTAGAAACTGGGAAAAGTTTTGTCTCCCAAGTGAATATGGGGGAGCTCTGGTAGCGTAGTGCCTAAGGCATTTGACTGCTAACCAGAAGGCTTGTGGTTCAAACCCACCAGCCACTCCTTGGAAGAAAGGTTGGGCAATCTACTTCCATAGTGATACTTCCTCGGAAACCCAAGGAGGGGTCACTATGAATCGGATCCGACTTGATGGCAGTGTGGTTTTTTTGTGAAGTGAATATGGGGTGCTTTTTTTGATCTGACAATATTACCAAGGAAATGTGGTCTCCTACATTGCTCAGGCTGTTGGGAAACTCCAGAGACTTTCATAGCTCAGTCACAGCATCTAACTTGATCTTGGGTCTTTTTTATGGCTCTGCGGGACTACTAGGAGCTTTGGTGATGTAGTGCTTAAGGCATTTGACTTCTAACCAGAAGGCTGGCAGTTCAAACCCCCAGCCACTCCTCAGAAGGAAGGTTGGGCAATTTATTTCCGTAGTGATACTGCCTTGGAAACCCAAAGGAGGGGTCGTTAGGAGTCAGAACCAATTTGACGGCAGTGAGTTTGGCTTTTTTTGGTATGACTAGTTAATTTAGGTTATTGTCATTAAGAGCACAATGATCCTTGTACTTGGTTCTGTGTTATATTTGTTAACTCTTAAAAGTACATGCTCACCTGACCCAAGAGGTGAGGGGCTGCATAGATCTGCCTGCTCATTTGTTTGTCTCTTCCCATTTCCAGAAAGGCAGGAATTTTTTTTTGTTTCAGTTCCTGTTACTTGCTGGCACTGGGTCTGACAAAGAGAAGGCACTCAACAGTACTTGTGGATGGAATGAATGAATGCATAAACTATTGTGCTGAGCAATCAATAAATTGTTTCTAAGAAAGGCACTGTGACAATCTTATTTATGATAATATTTCCAGTGCTTCACATGGAATCTGACACATAGTAGGCTCTTAATATCAGTTTGAGAGACAAAGGATAGTGGAATGGATGAATGGATAGACAGATGAGTGAATGATGAATGCAAGGATGGATGAATGGACATATGAATGAATGGCTGGAGGGACAGATAGATGGATGATAGATGAATGGTCAGATGGATGAAGGAAAGGAGAAAGGGAAGGGACAGTTGGGAAATGAACAAATAGAAAAACAGGTAGATGCTGACTTAAAATCAAGGATTTGGTGTGACATTTGGTATTTTAAATTCTCATGCACAAGGTCCTTGTGTGTGATGTAGACTGAGATTCTCAGTTAAGTATGTTTCTGGTCAGGATGATTAAGTTGGACCATGGAATAATTTTCCCAGAGAGGTCTAAAACCTGACAGCAAATATGTCTTAGTGTTGTCCCTGCCATTTGGTAAATAAATCCCTAATGCTATGGAAGGTATTAAGTTAATAATTGTTATAAGATACTGCCATTGTCCTGAATGAGTATATAAACCACAAATTCAACATTTAAGCTAAATGTATTTTAAACTAAATTTATTTATTTAAATTGCTTATTAAGAATAAGGTGTAGAGACTATTCAGGAAGGGAAACCAGTTAAAAAAGACAAGTCCTTCTGTGCTAATAAAAACACAACTAATAAATTATTGAAACATTACCCAATAATAAATTAATTAATAGGTATGAGGGCAAAAGGAAGCTGTCAGTCACACAAGCAAGCCAACATTGTGAGGAACATCTAAGAAAGAAAAAAGCATGGTTCCTAGGTTAAGAGATAGTATGCTCAGAGCTTTTGGTAAATCTAAGCATCTCACAACCCAGGCACAATCCGTGTGCATGTAATTACGCAGACTGCATAACTGATCCCCACTGTCATTAAGGGAACGGCATTCTGGAGCCATGGCATCCAGCCTCCCCATGGATTCTCTCCCACCTCACCAGAAAAATCCCATCATCATCTGTCTCTCTGGCAGGACATCATCAAAATTCAAACTGAGAGAAGGAAACAGCTTTCAACCCACCTGTACAGAGCTCCCACTGATCACAGATGCGAGGAATGCTCTACTGGCAAGGACCGACTTTGGCTGATATCCCCCACGTTTTGTACAGCAGCTGCCAGGGTGTGCCAGCAATGCTGTGAAAACCATCATCCCTGTCCTGGCACAGAAATTGGACAAGGACAAGCCCCAAGCTGGGGGGGCCTGTTCCTGCCTAACCCAGCAGCACACCACTCTCTTAGCTTGTGGTAATTAAGAGCCAGCAGATTGTGGGTAAAGCAGTTAAGAGAGCTTTTTTTTCCTAGGAATGCAGCCTGAGTAATTGGCTTGCTGCTTGCTAATGACATGACTTCTACAAAAATAAACTGTCATAGGCAATTCTTTTAACTGACTTGGTGAATGCAGGCTTATACCCATTTGATCCCCTTTGAGTTCAGCAGTAATTCCAAACACTTTTGGGGCCAAAGAGAAACAAATGAATCTACAGAGATTCCTATGCACAATAAGTTTAAATGGGATGCAAAACAAAAAGAGAACCATGCTACCTGATGTCATGCTACCTGTTTCTCCCCCAACCTGGTCCTTGTAAAGACTCTGTTCCCCGTGGGGTGTGTAAAATGAGTCCATGCATTAACACGGTATGTTTTGGGGAGGAGGAAAAGAAAAGAGGGCTCATGCTAATTTAAGCTCATAAGACATAGCTTCTGGATTTGCCTCTATGTTTTCTGAAGGCTGAATGGGTTACTATGTCCCAGGGACAGATGCACATACACGCACGTGCGTATGCACACACATGCGCGCGCACACACACACACAGGAGTTCACATCTCTGTGGTTCCAGTGTGGGCACCAACCAGCACTTTTCTCCCTGGACACTAATATACACTGACAACAGAATCATCCCCAAAGTCACATGTTCCAATCACCACGGCACTGTGCCATTGAAATCACATCAATTATTGCCAGTTTTTCTCTTTGGAGAACTTAGGAGCAGGGCTTCAAAATGCAGGAAGCTCCCTCTCTCATCTCCTTGATAAAACTTCCAAATCTTGCTGCTAGGCTTGGAGACAGGTGGAAGGAAATCAGCTGCAGTGCCATGAGCTGCAAAGTTTCAAGGGTTCTCCTTTCCCAAGTGGCAGAAAGCTATACATTCTTCCCTCCCCCAAATCTTCTTAGCTACAGGAAACCCCACCACACCCCCTTATCCTAGTGTTAACAAATTGGGAAGCCTCTTGCACCCAGATCAATTTCACAGGCATCCAAGTCCCAGATTTTGAGTTTTTCCATAGCATTTCAATGTGTTTGGGGAGCAGAAGCCCATACCACCAAGAAAACACTACAGCCTCTAAGCTATTAGCTAACATGTCAACTAGGTAATGCATCTTCAGGGAAACCAGATTAGAAAGGACAGCAAAACATTGATTTTTTTTTTTTTTTTTTGAAAGAATCCTATACCTGCAGCATAATGCTGCTAAAGCTAGCAAAACAACAAAGGGCATTTCCACAGCTAGGAAATGTCTTATTCTCAGTGCTGGGGCAGTGAATATTGCTCCATCTGAGCATGGCCATATATACAAGGCAGAGAAATTCTGCCCTAAACCCACAGGCTTGTTCTTTTGTAAGTAATACATCCACCAGTGCATAAAAAAGCTTAGGGAGAAAATTTACCCCTGTGAATGGCTAGAAACACCAGTTGAGAGCAGTGCTACCCAGGAAGAAGGTGGAGCTTTTTTTTTTTTTTTTTTCCCTCCTCCCAAAAGAAACAATGGCATTTCTATTAAGTTAAAACAGCTAAGAAACTCATCCATTAGTAGGAGAGTCACCATGCGTTTATACAGAGAAGACTGCAAACATGCATTTTATCCCAGCTCCTGCAGCCTGCTCACAAATCACCATACAGTTAAAGACAAGCCCAAGTACCTTCCATACCAAACAGATTCCCGGGAACTTAACACAATGAGCCTCGGCTCCTGTCTTCCCCATCCACTCTAAAACACATTTAGTGAAGTCAAGCCAGATAGCATCCTCTCCCACCAACTCCCTCCCCACCCAAAAAAAAAAAAAAAAGCACCAAGTAACTGACAAGTCCTTACCGACTTTGGGCTCTTCTTTGGAACTGGCAGCCCTGGAAAAATGCAACAAGGAGGGGAGAGGGAAAAGACATCATTAGCATATAAATGTTACCTTTTCCTTAAAGAACAATTCCCAGGTGTTTCATGGCAACCTAGCCATCTGCAGAGTTATGTCAGATTTCTCCCCAGCATCGGAGTTACCAGGCTGTTCATATCGAATCAAAGCAGTGGGAGGAGGAGAGCGAGAGGCAGGAGATCTATCTGCATTAGCTATGCTGACTTGTACTGCAGCAGCCTGGAGGCTGGGAAAAGAAATTCACAGACCTCAGCGGCCTGGGAAATTGAACACTTGGACAGAATCTCAAATGCTCTTCTAGATTAAGAGAGACTTAACTTACAATTAAGTCCAGGATATTTCCTTTCCACACGATCCACTTGTCAATGGCAGCGGACCAATCAGAACAGTGGAAGAGGTATATATTTAGTTTCAAAGGAGTACATGGTTAAAACGATTTTTATTTTTGTTCCTTTTTCTTGCCCTCTTTTTTCTCTTTTTAGTCTGCCTTTCAGGAGAGGAAACGCCTTCTTTATTTGGATGAGCTGAACACCAAAACAAAGACAGATGCTCTTTTGCCAGCACAGAAGGATAAAATATGAACACAAATCCAAAGTGGTCTTAGATCTCTCTGGTTCACAGTACACCTCTTGGTAGCTGTCAGTCATCCAAGCAATCGCCTATTCAGCTTGTTGGGAAGGACGTGAGCTTGGTCAAGCCCCTCAGGAGAAAGCATATAGTATGCGAGTGAAGGAGAGAAATTTCACAGAGCTGATCAGAAAAGATAATCATAGAAAGAGGAAGGCATCGGTAACAAGGGTGGTCATTGAACCTAGCTGACTACTCCAAAAGCCTGTACTCTTGGGAGGACTTGATCTGGAAGGGACTCCGATCTCACTCCCAGGAGAGTCAGTAGCAATTAGGGGAAGACTTCTGGGAAATCTACACCAGGGCAGTGCAGGGAAGGAGGCTGGAAAGGGAAGTAAAACCCCTATTTGTGTTTCTAAAATAATAGTTTCTGTAAGAGGCTTCCCTCCCCCTTTTTATGTCTGTATGTTGAGAAGGCATTAGAAAGCAAAAATGCAGATTCCATCATATAAAGCGCAAAAGATAACTTGGGATCTGATTATTTTTGCATTGGAAATGTCAACCTCTTTTAGAAAATGATGCTTATGTACCATGATGATAAGAATTCTTTTGGAAGCAACTTGTGACACCATGAGCCATGCTAAGTTTAGCACAAGTAATCAAAAAAACAGAAGTAGGTGAGGAAAGGGGGAGCCACCCAGATGACCACTGCTAACACACCCACTGCAAGTGAGGCATGATGAGAATTACTCATCCTAAAAGGCATTTAGGGGCACTCATCTGGCTTGGCTCATCACGTTGCCAAAAAGAGGTCACCAAGAACTGGCAGACTAGCACTCAGGCTTCAGTGTGAATAAGGAACACTTGGCTGCTTGTTAAAAATGCAGAGTTCCAGGCCTCACCCTCAGTGGCCCAAGAATCTACAGCATTGATAAATATTCCCAGAGATTCCAACACAGGGGGTCTAAAGGACATATTTAAGGAAACCATAATATAGTGCACAGCATTATTTCTCTTTCAAGTCTGGCAAACTCCAATAGGCAAGGTTCAACAAGTCACTTTAAAGCCCTCTATGCTTCAGTTTCTTCATATATGATATAAGACTCATTTCATGAGATTGTTAGGATAATTAAAAGAGACAAAATGTTTAAAAGCCTCATATCTGTTACAAAGTAGACCACTCTAATGTTCATCCCTTTCACCTTCCTTTGCTAATTCAGATCATTTAGAAAGAAAACAGTTATCTTGCTCCAATTGGAGAAAATCAATTGCTGTTGTTGTTGTGTTGTTATGTGCCTTGGATTTGGACCCGACTCACAGCGACCCCTCTTTGGGTTTCCGAGGCGGTATCGCTATGGAAGTAGATTGCCCAACCTTTCTTCCGAGGCATGGCTGGTAGGTTTGAACTGCCAGCCTTCTGGTTAGCGGTCAAGTGCCTTAGGCACTATGCTACCAGAGCTCCTAGAGAAAATCAAGTGCTAAGTGTATAAAAATATACAAATAACTTTAGGAGGTATTTTAATGGTGCATAAGAATAACTGATCAAACTTGGATATGTCATTATTCTTAACAATAATTATTAAATGTTATTTGTTTGTTGATATAATTTCATTAAGGAATTTCATCAAGTTTATATTAGTGTGGGTCACTGTACAACACTTGAGAATTATATATCTTTAAATTCAGATTTTTTCCCTAATTAATAGTTAATTAGTTAAAAGGAGTTTGCAAGTCTCATGGCATTTAGTTTTAATGGACATGACTCTGCCCAATAACCTGATGACCTACAAAACTTTCAAGTCCAACTAGGTAGGGGTCAAGGAAAATGGTTTCAATCCACAATCTGCTACTATTAACTTACATTACCAGTCTTAATTCTCTGTCTCTTTAGGATTTTCACACATAAAATAAAGGGCACTTTCATTCTCTCTCACAAACACTGACACACCCATTTAACAGTGCATGGACAAAGATGTCCATTGTAGCATTGCTGGTATAGAGAAAATCGGAAACCACTGGAAGTTCTGCAAAAAACTGTGGGACAGCCAACCTACAGAGCAGTCTGCAGAGGTTAAAGGGAATGAGCTATCCCTATGGAGAAAAACATAGATAATCTCCGAAACATACTACTAAGTGAAAACATTATGTTGCAGCACAGCAGGTATAGTAGTGTACAGGTGTTAAACACACTCAAACACACACACATATACACACACACAAACTTTTTCTTTCTATACATATGTAAACAAAAGAGAAATGAGGGGAGGGGATGGGGCAGGGATTAGGGACTAGTTTAAGGAGACTTTAGCCTTATCTAGAATTCCTTTTAAAGAAGAGCATATTAATATCTCACTAAGGTAATAAAATATTAATTTAAAAATAAGCATTAAGTAACTAACAGCCCTTCCACTGTTAACTGTACAAAATTAACTGGTCTGAAGAACAAGAGGGTAATCAATTATACCATCTATGTTGTTTCCTCTGAGGAAGCAATCCATGAAATATTTCAAAATATCCCAGTTGAATCAACACAAGTTGTGATTTACAACAAAGAAGAAGAAAAACAATACACACACACACACACACACATATTAAGTTAAAGAGGAATTTGTTCCTCTTTGTTATTTAGTTGCCTGAGCTCTTAGTTTTAAAAGGCCACACCTTCAACAGAACCACAAATTAAAATTTAAATAGTCAAAATCAAGAGACTCCACTTGAGTGCTTTTTTGAAAAAGAAATCAAAGATTTGCTTTAGGTGCAGATGGTCATTAAATCTTAAAATCTAATAAATATGAATGCTAGAACAAACCTCCATTTTACAATTTATAATTTATTTTAGCCAAAACTATTCAGAGGGATTAAAAACAACTGGGAAACCTAAGAGAAAGCAGTCAAAAGGTCCCGGCTTGGCAGAATTCTCCAAGTCCTAGGAATCACAGGCTTCAGCTCTTGTCCAGCTAGACTCAACTGCATGCCATTCAGTGCTGGATGTACTATAGCAATCAGCACGAGCCCACACTTCATGCTATGTTGGTGGTTTTCCACAGCACAAATACTCACAGTGTCCCCTGTGCAGCATGAAGCTCGAGTTATGTAAACAGTGCCACTTATTACATACAAGGCATGTGGGCAGCATCAGCACCTATCTTAATGGGCTCATCTGGCCCATTCAGAATAAGGAAGGGGAGAGTTCACAAGAAGCAAAAGAAAAAGTTCAAAGATGGCACCATTTGCTCTCAGAACCTAGAAGGCAGCAAATGCCACTTCAAAGGGACCCTAGGAAACTTTTAGGAGGAAGTGCATCTTCAAAGTGTGAGTCTAAGTGTGATCAACAGGGGTGTGAAAAGCTTGAGACCTGAATCTCTGAAGTACCCCATGAAAAAGGTGTCCTTTGGAGAAAACAAATGGCAAATTCTCTTCTAGTGGTTGAAACCTGACCAATTAACTTGAGGAGGAAAAATCTTTTTCCCTTCAAATATCAAGGCCATAAACAATCCCACAAACATGTTCTCATATAATTAAATGGCAAAGTTTTATAACACTTGTACACAAATAATTTATGTGAAAATGTAACAGAACACATATGCATGTGGAAACAAAGACTAGAAGGTCATATACCAAAAGAGTGTTTTCTTTGCCTAGTGAGATGATGGATAACTCTGTTACCTATTGTAGTATCTTCTACAACAAGAAAAGCTTTATTTATTTATAAATATACATATACACAGAGACCATAATAAACAAACTCTAAACTGCCTTTCTAAGGAAGATGAATGTAGCAAGTTCTAGAACCTTTTATTGCATTTTTAAATCTCCAGAGCCCTCACCAACTTCTACAATCTCTAAGAATTGCTTTTATTCCCCAAATTGAATATACACACATATGGTCTCTCTAAGCACCCTATTGAGATTAAGACTTGTGCTTGTCCTCCTAACTAAATGGAAATAAGGAAGAAGTACGATAGCTCAGCTGAGCTATCAGGAAAACCCTCAAAGAAACCAATTACTGCATTTCAGGACTAAGATGAACAAAACATGAGTTGCTGGGAAATGGATTAGACTTCTCTGGATCAAAGATATCCCAGGCTTACAGGAAGTGAGAATGCCAAACAAACCCACTAACTAAAAGAATCAAGAAAAACAGACAGAGCTTTGAAAGGATGCATCCTAAAGTCATTGTAGATCTACAGATAAATGATGCAAAATCATTGGTTTTAATTTATTATGAAAATGGAAATATTTTGGATTCTTTCTCAGCATCCTACCAAATGCTATGTTCTCAATCCACAAGACATTGAAACTAAGGGCTTCTTTAGAGCTTTGCAAAGCAAAATGGGTGTTAAAACCTTTACCAGAGCTGGATCACATACCACAATGTGAGAGAAGCAGAGTACTGTGCTAGAGAGATAG